ACACACACACCAGACTCTAGCCCAGCAGTCCCCGGAGGCAAATGCAGTCATAGCCAAGGACAAATCCAAAGCTAGTCAAGCCCCTCCCTGTGTCCCCCCGGGGGTCCAGACGGCTTCAGATTCCCTCATAGAGGCACACACACCAGAGCCAAGTCACAGATTCCCAAGACGCAAGAACGAGTTCGCCAATGGCAATCACAGTGAAGGCAAAGCCCCTAAAGGAAATGGTAGCCCATCATCAAGGTAGAGCACCCCCAGTGACTAGCCCTTATCACTGACAGCAAAACCAGAGTTCCAAACAGGCAAGGAAAAGTCCCTAAGTCAGTCTCCCAAACCCAGAGCAAGCCCCGACCTGCATTGCCCAAGCAGACCCCCCAGAAAGTGATTTGCCCCCATCATCAAAAGCTAAACAGATTCCGCAAGAACCAATGGGGGGTGAACCCCCAAACGGAGAAGCCCCTAAGCGGAGGGCAAGTCTCAGCCTCCCATTACGCAGAACAGAGCTCCCTAAACAGGCTGCGACCCCTTCCAGCCCCCAGGCGAAATCCACATTACTCCAGGAGTAGCCCTAGAAGTCCCCCTTTTCCGCCTCCCTCCCTTGGGAACGGGCCCCTCTGTCCCTCCCGCAGCAGCACCGTGGACAGCTCCCGCGTCGCTGCCCTTCCCCTGGGCTGGGGTCCGAGCGCCGCGCCGCCCCGCCCCTCTCCGGCCCCGCCCCCCGGGTCCCCACAGCTCCTCCCCTCTCCCATTGGCCGAGGCGGAGACCCTCCTTTCCGCCCAATGGCCGCCGCTGTGGCTCGGCCACTTGCACTCTGACTGGCCAGCGACCGGCAGAGTGGCGGGGCGTAGGCCAATGGGGAGAGACAGCTCGATGAATGGCTGGCCCGGGTGGGGAAGGCAGGAGGCGGTGATCCCAGCGGAGGGGGCCGTTCGCCAGCTCGGAGGCAGAAAGTGCCACGACTCCACACGCGCGCACGCAGCGAGCGAGCGGCCGGAGCGGACGGTGGACGGGGCGGGTGGCGTCGAGGTCGCGGCGTCTGCAGCTGCTTGGGGGCGGCTTCTCGGTGGAGGCTCGGCCAGCTCCTCTCTCCCGGTTCCGCGGCGGCGGCGGCGGCGGCGGCGGCTGCGGTGTCGGCGGCGGCTCCTGCCCTTTCGTTTTTCCTCCCGCGTCTCCCGCTGCAGGTAAGAAACTTGGCCGGGCCCTGCAGCCGTGGCGGCGTCGGCGCGCGGACCGGGCCGTCGGGGCGCCTGGGCCAGGGCCGGCCGCGCCGCGAGTGACACGTCTCCTTGGCTGCCCCTCCCCCGGCTGCGCCGCCCGCTGTCGCTGCAGCCGCTACCCTCGGGGTCGGGTCGGGCCCCGGGGGGCGTGTGCCTGGCCGAACCCTGTGCTGGGCCGTCGGCCAAGCGCCACCCGCAGTGTGAACCCCATGCCCCTCGCCGTCTGTGGGACCTGCGGCGCCCCCGCGGCGCGACGTGGCGATCCTTCCCTCCCTTCCTCCCAGGCGGGCCGTCGGGCCGGCCCGCGCGCTCCGAAGTTGGGTGAAGAAAGTTGGCGGCGGGCGGGGCGGCGCACAGCTGGCGGAGGAAGGGGTTAAGTTTCGGGAAGCGGCCGGATGACGTTGCCCGGCTGGAGTCCGGGCTGGAGGGGGTGCGAGGGCGGCAGGATTGAATGGGGGGCCCGCTAGTAGGGCGCTGGGTTGAGGGCTGTGGCCTGGAGGCGCTTCGCTGGTCGGTCGGCCCCCGACGGCGTGGGCCTGAGAATCGGGGCTGCCCTGGGATTCTGAGCGGGGACTTGGGCCGTCCGAGGTCCGGCCGCCTGGGCGGCCGCGATAGCAACTTCCCGGAGTGCGGGACATGGCTCCCTGCTCCCCCTGGCGGCGGGGCTAGGGGCACCGTTTCCCTGACCCGGCCGCGCGGACGCCGGGCGCGAGGGACCCGCGCGCCCCGAACCCTGCACGGCCCACCCTTCCCGCGCCACAATGAATGGACGGCCTGGCCGGCCAAGCACACTGGCAGCCGGCATGTGCTGGCCTCAGTCCGTCGGTATCCCCAACGGCACTCTGGGTCAGGGGAGGGTGAGTTAGGTTTTGTGCTTCCTGGGAGGTGTCCTGGAAGCTTCAGGGACCCATTTGCAGGTGATAGATCGAACATTTAGCTCGATGTGATATGGTGGTTGAGGGAGTGGGCTTCAGAAATCACGGTTCCATTGAGGGAGACTTCAGCCAGGCTCTTCCACTGCGGGTGTCAGCGTCTCTATCTGAAAAACGGGGCTGCCAGTCATTTCCACCTAAAGAGGGAAAAAGCTGTAGAGACCTAGCACGTGTAGGGAGTCATCAACAAGTGTTAGCTGTTACTGTTGGGATGAGTTTTTAGGAGCCTGCGTGGCATAGGAGGGAGGTGGGGTTTGGCGCCCTCCTGCCTACTGGAGGACAGGGTGTGCACAAGTCCCAGGTTGGAATTCCAACCCCATAGCGCACTTATAGACCCTGTGTGCTGATCCTTTAACCTTTCCGAACCTGGGTTTCCTTATCTGTAGCCTGGAGATAGTATCACCCACGCACTGTAGGGTCAGCAGCCTCCAGGCAAATACTGGGGGAAAACTAGGACCTTGTGCAAACACAGGGCAGTTTGGCAATAACTCCTGGAGGTCGAAGGTCAGCTGAGACTAGGCTACACCTAAGAAATGAAACTTACTTTGAAGGCTCTTGGGAGCCTCCCTAGTCACTGTTTGCTTAGGGTGCTGGAATCTTCAGGATGGAGAGCTTTACGATGGCTTTTTCCGAAATTAGGGGGATTGTACTCAGTAGAGCCTCATATCCTGGGCTAGAGGTCTCTTCAGGACTCCCCTTACTAAGTGTCCCTTGAGTGCAAGTTCTTCTGCCCTGTACTCCTTTGAGGGACAGCACATGTATTACATGCACCAGCCCTGTGCAGTTGGGAACATACATTCTTTTCCATCCCTGCCTCTTGCCTTACACTTTCTGTCTGCTCAGTTGTTTTAACTTCCTGCTCATTGGACCCCAGACAAGTCTTGGTGATTCTGTAGCATGCTACTTACTGTGCTGAAGTCTCAATTCCTTTATGAACTTTCTAAAGGTCAGCTCCACTATGGCCTGCCAACCTGTTTGTCTTTCAGGAAGGAGCTTCCGGTTCTGAGGTCCTGTTGATGCCACTTACCTCTATTTAAGTGGGAGCAAACTTCCTAGTAGGTTAGGCTTTGCCTTTGCTTGTGGTATTGCAAACCTCTTGCAAGACTTCTGGGCTGCCTGTTTGGGGGAAGAGGGTAGCTTAAGATTGGGGAGGGGAACAGGAAAGGTAGTCTTGCAATTTAGTGAAGGGAGAGTTTTAAATAAATCTGGAATCACTGAGTCACATTTGAGCAATTATGTATGCTCTTTGAGGAAATGAACACTAAGTCCACAGGCTGCAATAATTGTACAGCATCAAATTCTATTTAAGTGATTGTATGCAAATGATTTAATTATAACATTGGCTTGGTGTATAGCTGGGACACCTTTGTGGTGGGACCATACTCTCTTACTTGATTTTTTTTTTTAGTCTGGGATTTTAACAGAGAATGACACAGACACACAGGGTTCTTTTGATACACCAGGTTTTTCATTGCTGAAATCTTGTTTTAGAAGAAAAAAAAGTAATGATCGGGCAGAATTACAAAGGCAGAGACTGTGTAATGTATGCCTGTATTATGAACTTGAATGTTTGAGGCCAGTTCCTTGGCAGAATAAATGTTAACTAAATGAGGTATCACTAAATGAGGTAACATATTTTCATTAGTTATTCAGTTATCTTGCTGGACAAATGAAACTGAATCTAATTTGATTTTAAGGTTTATTACTTAGAATCAGATTCCATAAGTTAATGTTTGTTGTAGACCTTGCAGCTGTCCCACTTTATAAGAGTCCATATGGTCGTTTCCATTTCGTGGATGAAAACATGGAGGCCAACAGGTCCAGTATTTATCAGGCCACTTCCCAACTCTGGGCTGCTGCTGGTCTTCTGAATGGTCACCCACAGTGTTATATAATTCCACAATTCATGCTCCTTGGGGTAGTAACTACATGAGTTTCAGTGGAAGGAAGGTGTGAGTTAGTTGGAAAGGTGGCAGCACAAGAAGGTACTTTTTATTACTGTGTCTCCTGTGCTTTCAAACACAAAAGATACAAACATGAGACCTAGCTCTGTGTTGTCCTACATTTAACCACATAGAGCAATTAAGGAAAACTTAAAATTCAGTCTCCTGGTCATACCAGCCCCACATTTTTTTTTGAAAGGTTTATTTATTTGTGTATACAGAACTGGGGTACAGGCCAGAGGTGCAGGAGCGGTAAGAGGCTTCACCCGAGACAGAGTGGGAGCAGAATAGGCAGATCACTGCTGAGGGGAGTACACTGCTAAGGGGAGCAGCGGCCAGTCCCACATTTTAAGTACTCAGTAGTCATGTTGGTCAGTGTGGATTTTGGTCATTTACATGATCTCAGAAAGTTCTCTCAGACTAAGCTGGTCTTGCATTGCTAGTATTCTGTATAAACATTCAAGTCTGTGTCTCTTGATTGTTTAGAAATATTATTTTGAATCACATGACATTAATTGCCCTTCTGTAAATCAAAAACATTTAAACCCGTGGTAGATCATGGATTTATTCAAGCTAGTAAAATTTCACCTTGGGAAGGCCTTTTTCCCTGACTCTTTGTATAGGTTATAAATTGCATATCAAGATAAGGTGGGGTGCACAAAAATCACCTTGGAGAGATTTTTACCTAATCATGACAGCACCACAAGGGTTGAATGTACCAAACACAGAAAATAGGTATTAGCAGAAAGCTTATGGCTTGTAGAAAAGGTAAATATTTAATTCTAAGAGAGAGAAGCTGAGCAAGAAGGGCCACATAGCATTACAGAAAATTAACTCAGGTCTTGCTCTCAGGTTATTTTCTTAGGCAGACAAATTCTGATGAGTCTCCTAAAACAGACTACTGTATTCTTCTGTCTAAAAGCCAGGCACATTGTTTCCTTTACGTGCCATGAATGACATGTATCTCCTACCTGCCTTGCCATGGGAAGCAACTTTAATTTATAAAGAATGTTTTGTAATTTCTAAACTTGGTTATTTTTTGCAAGACTGGAACAACTGCTGGGCCCCAATCTTACATTCAAACAGTGGCATTTTCTTACTGACTAACATAACTTGTTACTGGGTCAGTGACCATTTTCAAAACTTTTGTCTTAGCATAGCTTTGTAAGGATCTTTGAAACGATCACTGGATAGTATTGGGGAAGAATTTTTACATTCTTGCCTGCACAATTCGGCTGATCTTGTTATAGGACAGGAGAGGGGCATCCCAGCACCCCCAAACCTGCCTGTTCTAAATAAGTTCTGTCATCCACTGCATTAAGACAAAACAGATAAGATCTTTAATGGAAAGAAACTGTATTATATTATATATCATATAATAGAATTACTTTGCAATATTGAAAAGATAAAGAATCTAGTTTCCAAATGAAGTACCCAAAATTACCCATCCCCTTGTTACAGGGCACCCCAGTGTGAATTGGGTTGCCTGTCTGTGGGTCCTCACCTGTACGCTTATGATTCAATCATATTATGGATACACTTAAAAAGGTTAAATAATGGATTTATTTATAAGGAGAAAGGTAAAGGAATAACCCAGGGAAAGAGGGAGAGAAATACATAAGTTAAGCTAGAAAGCCCTACCAGTTCTGCTGACTTGGACTCCACCGGCACACTGATCAAGGGCCAAAACAATCAGCCGCGAACCATCAGGCCAAGAGACCTCCAGAGCCCACTTGTTCAGTTTTATCCTAACCTGGCTGCTCAGCTCCGCCCTCACGTCCTAGCGTGCTTCTCTTTGTTATTGATGGGATTTGTAGTTCCAGTATCTGGAGTGGGGGTGGCGTCCATGAAACCTGTACCTGTTACACCCTCATGAGTAAAAGTCCACCAAAACAACATTGGCCCAAAGTAAGGCCTGAAAGTCTTCCATAAGTCTAAAATCACTATCTGGCAGGGTCCTATAGAAAAGTAAGAAATAGGTAGACAAGTCTGGGAGGAAAAGAGCAAAATCAAACTCAAGATAAAGCTGCCATAGTCAGCCTCCCCGCAGGGCTCTCACCCATTTCTGTTTCACCCAGTCCAGGGCCAA